AAGATTCTTGTTACAGCTCAGAAGACCAGAGTGTTGACTGAAATGCAGCCAGAGAAGACCAAGCTCAAGAGGTTTCAGTTGGGAAGAAGGACTCCACTGTCAATATGGACTCTAGGCCACATGTGTTATTCTCTGGCAGAAAATTTGTCTGCATTTTGCTTATCTCCAGAGACTTTGTCAGAGACTGAGATCAAGAGTGGCAGACTAAACCTTGTGGATGAAATTTCAAGACAGTCTACTGCTGAGGTGGTGGCATGGTTACTTTTGGGGGCTATTTAGCCAGCTCTACCTTGAGAATCAGGAGCAAGTCACCAACTAAATGATTTTAAAAGTTTTAAGTTTGGCCAGAAAGAAACTAGCAAAGTTGGGGCCTGTAAAGATGGAGCAAAGGAGAGCTTGGTTGCTGAGAATATTGCATTAAAAAGAAGTTAAGTACTTTGGAGCAGGACAATAGAAAAAATGGTCTGAATGCATCACAGGAACCAGCACGGCTTCACTTTTCCAACACTCAAAATAGTAAAGATGACCTTGCTTTAAGAAGAGAGCTGTAGAGCACCTTGCTCCAGAATAGTGGCACCCTAGGAAATGGGAATTTAGTCAATGGGATTCAGCTCATTTCACTCAGCCATCTAAGTACTCAGAGGCTTCTGCAACCACCAAGATGCAAAAGGGCTCAGCTAGTGCTCCAGCTGTTGAAAAATCTTGGTGTCAGACACATGGTGCTGGCTTTAGGCCCACGCATAATTCAAGAGATGTGGAGTCAGAGAGAAGCTTTGATTCAGATTTCAAAAGAAGGCAAGGGAGTCCAGTCAATGTTTTAGGGCAGTGCATGAATCTGTGAGGGTGAAACCAGTGTAGTGTAGATCTCAGGATATTTGAGATGTTAGCAATGTCTTGGAATGACTGAGGAAAGCCAGGAGGAATAAGTAAAGCCAGCCCTAGAGTGAGAGCATGAAAACTATAAGCCACAAGTGGTGCTGTTGGAGTGGGACCACCTAAGCCCTTTGGAGTTCACATCTTGCTTCAGATTGCCTTGGGTACTAGGCATGGAACTACAGGATTTAATGTTTACCTTGCTAGATTTCAGTCCTGCTCTGGTCCCATTCCTTTCTGTTCTCCTAGTTCTCCCTTTTAGAATGGGAATTATTATCCTTTGCCACTCACTGTATATTGGAAGTGTTTAACTTTCTTTTCATTTTACAGGAGCTCACAGCTAAGAATTTGCCTTTAATCTCAGATGAGACTTTGGACTTGGGTGTTTAGCAATGCTAAAACTGTTAGAACTTTGACAACTCTTAGAGATGGACTAAATGAATTTTGTATAATAGGATGTAATGAATCTTTTTGGGGCCAGGAGTGGAATGTTATGGTTTATATCTAGATGTCCTACAAAGCCTATGCACTCATAGGTGGGCTTTTGGGAGGTGACTGGATCATTGTTGTGAGATATTCTTCCCTGGATTAGTTTGCTTATGAGTTTATAGCTGGGTGTGATGTTGGGAGGTGAAGTCTGGTGGAAAGAAGTGTTCACTGTGGGAATAGCCTGGAAGGGTATCTGTCACTCATCCTCCCTTGATTACTCTCTTCTTCCCACTTCCATACAATGAGTTTTCATTTATATTCTTAAATGTCAATTCATTGAAAAGGTAACACACTTTTATGTATTCATATAAGATCCTGGACCTTTTCTTTTTTGAGTCACTACTCTGGCTTTAACTACTGGAAGAGCACCCTAAATATATAGTCTTAGAAAAATCTCAACTTAGCTAGGAATGGTGATGTGTGCCTGTAAGTCTGAGGCTATAGGAGTAAATTGAAAATGTTTCTTTTATGTTTTTCTTTTCTCTTTCTCTGTCTCTCTCTTTCTTTCTTAAATCTAGAGCCTCTGTGGTCTTAGGATCTAGATGTCTTAATAATTGACTTGCTTTTCTTTTTATCCCAGGGGGTGGTCTCCCAGAAGGTAAAGGAAATCTCAATGCTTCAATTATTTGAAAGTGTTACTCTATTACAAAAAATCCAAAGCCTTTATGAGTAACTATTGCTGATATTTTGGCAGATTACCAAAATTTCAGATGGCCCAGGGCGTTACTCACTTATACATGGCAATGTCTTCCTCTTTAAAAGCATAGAAGCATTTAAGAATGTAAGTCAGAAAATATCTTGCCATTTGATTCTACAGGTTCACTTTCCCTAACAATAGAATGTAGTTCTTGGAATTATTTTAGTTTTGCAGACAATCTTTTAGAAAATTCGTATTTCTCTTCTAAAAAAGCCTATAGAATTTTTCAAAAAATTAACTACCAAAGGAAAGGACATCTTTCAAATAGAGTAAAGAGGGAAATAGGTCACATTTGGTAGAATCTAAAACTGGAATCATGAATGCATTTGGAGTGGGAATTCATTTTATCTCAAAGTAGTAATTTTTCAGTACTTGTAGTTGTGACATATCATTTAACTTTATGCTTACTCTTTCTAGAATTAAAATAAGACAAGATAGAAACATTGGAACTCTACTGCTTCATTTTTAACAGAATCTGATAAACTACCAAACATCAGAAGGTAAAAGTAACTTTTTTTCAGCTTTAATTGAGTTTATTAGTACATTTTAGGGATACAGTACAGTTACATTCATTGTTGGGATCTTGTACCTCTACATGACAAGTCTTGGTTCTCATTTTTTCCCCTTGTCCCTGCCCTCCATTCACCCCGTCCTCTCTTCCCCATCTACAAATGGATACATGTTGAAGATATGCTCCTAAGTGAAATAAATAAGGCACACATGTGTAAATACTGAATAGTTCCTCTGGTGTGAATAATCTGCAATAATACAGAAGATCCTAATAAGATTACTGACATTGAGAAATGGGAAGAAAGGAGCTAAAAGTGTAGGGAAGGTGGGATGGGTAGGGGAAGGGTAATAAGGGAAAAGAAAAAAATGTGAGATAATGAAAAGATGGAAAAGTAACTTTTAAAGTATGAGATTTTTACAAGTCAACTGTTTGTTGGATACTTTGAGAAGAACTCCCTTTTCCATGTATAATGTCTTCAGTTGTAAATTTATTAATATTTATGATACTATAACATTTACTATACAATTTATTACTCTGATTCTACCTGCTCATTAACATTCAGTTTTTATCTACATAATAAATTTATACTGATTAATTGCCATTTACCAGACTAGAACATTATGTTGACAATAAATATGCAGAGGACAAGTTGGGTTTGATCTTAATGAAGTTATTATCAGGTGAGACATGATGAATGTTTAATATTCAAATTTCAATACAGTGTTGGAATGAATTTGATAAAGATACATCTTAAAATTTAAATAATTTGTGTCTGCTTCTAGGCAAGATTTAATAAAGCTAAGCAAAATATACTATTTAAAAATTAATATTTTATGATCACTTCAGGCTCTCTTTCACTACACAGATATCTCACAAATTCTCAGATCCTAATCTTATTTAATATCTTGCCTTTTAATAATATAAATCTGCATACTAAGGTTTTTATGGAACTGGTGAATATTTTATTTTCCACATTTACTGCTGTCTTGAATGATGATAATATACCATGCAATTTTTCTCTTCATTATCTTTTTTCTCAGTTAAATACTACATTTATCAAAGATTTCTTCATTCTGTTTAAACTTTAAAGTTTCTCTCATTTACTCTTTCATCTTAAAATCATTTATTTCAAATAGACCATATATATGTATTATTAATTTTCAGCCTTAGTAGCACTGATGTTTTGGTGCAAATTATGGGACTGAATGCTAAGTAATAATAATAATAAGAAGAATTACAATAACTATAACAATGGTTAACATTTATGGGCTACTTTGCCATAAGTGGTGTCAACGATTTACCTTCATATATAATTTTACACTCATTCACAGGAAAACCTTGAGAGATATTTTGTTTTCACATCCCCTTTGAATATAAGGAGACAGTATACCTAAAATGTACCTAAACTCAGTTAAGAAAAAATGAGACAGTGACAGAAAATATAAGGAACTTGTCCTAAATCCCATTTGAAAAGTTATGGTTCACTAGTATTCAGCCCATCTTATTAGTAGATTGACTAAATTAGCTACCATGAAAGCATACAGAAAAGTGTCTGGCATGTTTAAAAAGCCACATAAATGTTTGTATGAATATCATTGTCCTTATGAAATCATTCGTATCCTGAAGGGACAGATAGAGTATGTCATATTTCCAATAAAAGTTTAAAATGTATATGAGCTAACAAATGAATTGAAGGTAGTTATGAAGACATACTCAAGGTAAAGAAAAATATAATCAATAGTAATATAATATAATATACACTTTGTTAAATTTCCAAAGCAACTGTTCTATAAACCTCTTAAGTAAATATAAACCATGGTATTGGAAACAATGGGAAATTTTCTTTACAAAGTGTATTGATGGTCCATCCAGGAGAAAATTCATGGATTATGAGAATCATTTTTGTAATTGATTGTGTACAACTTTTATTTTAGTAGTTATGAAACTTGCATTAGAGTTCAGTTTCCATGATGCAAAAAAGCAACTGAACACCTTAAGTAACTCCAAAAAATCCATTCACTTTTTAGTATATTTGTTAGTATTCTAAATTAAATCTCCAGGTTTTCCCAACCTTGACTACAAGAGATCTTATGTATCAAAATCCAGAGTACTAAAACTATTTCTGAATTGAATTTATCATTTGTTCTCCTTTCCAATCAGTTTCATGATAATGAAGCCAGTGTGTAAATCATAGGGAGAGATATGCAGTAAGTGTTATTTGCAAATATGAAAGGCATTATGGTACAAAAACATTGCATTAGATACACAGAAAAAAGACCAAACTATATCACTTTCAGGAATTATGAAATAAAAATATTTGGATTTGACCTCAGTTGTTTGAAATTTTTAAGTAATAAAATTACTAGGAGGCTAAAATTAACAATGGTTACACAATAGCCTTGTAAATATGATACCTAGAGATTATTTGTAATGCTAGGATCAGTACTAAAAGTCCATTTGTTTATTTTGCCTTCTACCTCTCATCAGGTCTCTTCCATGGGTGACAGGGGAACAAGCAATCACTCGGCAATGACTGACTTCCTCCTTATAGGCTTCAGGGTCCACCCTAAACTCTGTATTTTCATTTTCCTACTATTTTTGCTCATATATGCCATGATCATTTTGGGGAATGTTGGGATGGTGGCCATCATTATCACTGATCCCCAGCTGAATACACCAATGTATTTCTTCCTAGGCAACCTCTCCTTTATTGATCTCTTCTACTCATCTGTTATTGCACCCAAAGCTATGACTATCTTATGGTCCGAGAGCAAGTCTATCTCCTTTGCAGGTTGTGTGGCCCAGCTCTTCCTCTTTGTGCTCTTCGTTGTGACTGAGGGTTTTCTCTTGGCAGCCATGGCCTATGATCGCTTCATTGCCATCTGCAACCCACTCCTCTATTCTGTTCAGATGTCAATGCGTCTCTGCACTCAGCTGGTGGCTGGTTCCTATTTTTGTGGTTGCATCAGCTCAGTTCTTCAGACCAGCATAACATTCACTTTGTCTTTTTGTGCTTCTCGAGCTGTTGACCACTTTTATTGTGATACTCGCCCACTACAGAGATTGTCTTGTTCTGACCTTTATATCCATAAAGTGGCATCTTTTTTCTTATCCAGCATCATTATCTTGCCTACTATCACAGTCATTATTGTTTCATATGTGTACATTTTGTCCACAGTTCTAAATATTCACTCCACTGAGGGGCGTAAGAAAGCCTTCTCCACCTGCAGCTCTCACCTGGGAGTAGTGAGTGTGTTGTATGGTGCTGGGTTTTTCGTGTATCTCACCCCAGACAGGTTTCCTGAACTCAGTAAAGTGGCCTCTGTATGTTACTCCCTAGTCACACCTATGCTGAACCCTTTAATTTATTCTCTGAGAAATAAGGATGTCAAAGAGGCTCTAAAAAAGCTTCTAGAGAAGAAACATACTATTTTTTATTAATTTTCTTCCACCACTTGATTGTGGCTATTTTATGCCTCTTCTGACATTTTTTAGCTTTTCCCATGTGACTTACCTTTCCAAAATATTACTTCTTTACTTTCTGAGATATTAATTCTGAATATGCTGGACATGGGAGATGTTTGCACAGCATTTTTTATGGTACTTCCCAGTGATCCTTAGCAATATTTTATTTTCACAGAATCAATATGTATTCCATAGTGTTGAAAAATGTTTTAAAATCTTGATATAGTGCAAAAGCAATACTTTATCAAGTGCCAGTCTTTCAGAGTACCTTTCCCTCCTACACACAATCATGGATAATTGACAAAGATTCCCAAATTATTTTTTAAATAAAGTATTTTTCTTACTCTTATTTGCATTAGTATGTTAAAATTTCATTGTATTTCACCTTCAACAAGTATTTTCTATGAGTTATACAGAGAAGAAGTAACAGTAATAAAAAATAAGTTGCCTTTACTATGCATGTTTATTTGAAAACTTGTATTCTGAGCATCCAGGTACTGAGCAGTGCTCTGAGGTACTACCAGGTGCTGGATCTTATTCAAAAAAGTAATGTGGGAGATAGAGAACTGCAGACAGTTTTGACTGCTCATTCCCTCAATTTGTATTTTTGCCTTTTTTGTCTTATGTTAATTATTACTGGGGGATATTCAATAAAGGAATAGAAGCAAACTGGTCATTAAATTGAGTGTAATCCCAAATTTCCTATATGCCTCGGTGTATACTTAATATTTCATTATTTTAATTGAAAACCTGTGTAAATATCCTGGTATCTGTGAGCTGGGGGGACAAATTACTTTATCCTGTGGAAGTTTACACTTTTTTTTGAGTCAGTTTTTTGGATAACTAAAATCCAGAAAGTTGTGCCAAAAACAATTTTAGAAACAATAATGTGGGGTGCTTGAAAAAACATGGTTGGTAGTTTGGGAAACTTTTCTTGGGCCATTTTGAAAGAGTGTTTAAAAGCAATAAAGTTGTTACACCATTTGTACAGTGGTTTATATGGTCTACTTGTAAAATATGCCATGTTGATGAAAAAAGCAATTATGATAAGTGTAGGTGGTGTATATATACATATATACATAACAAATTAAGCATTTACTAAGAAAAGATTGTACAAAAGTATCTTTTGTCTTCAAATTTTTCTACTTAAAAGAGTGTTATAATGCTATAAATGGATGAAAAGTAAATGAGCTTTGAGGAAACTCCCCAGCTTGATAAAGAACACATATACAAAACATACAGTAAACTGGATAAAGAAGATGTGGTTTTTCTATAAAATGGAATATTACTCAGCCATAAAGAATGAGAAAATAGATTCACTCATAGGAAAATGGATACATATTGAAGATATACTCCTAAGTGAAATAAATAAGGCACGCATGTGTAAATACTGTATAGTTTCTCTGGTGTGAATAATCTGCAATAATACAGAAGATCCTAATAAGATTACTGACATTGAAAAAAGGGAAGAAAGGAGCTAAAGGTGTAGGGAAGGTGTGATGGGCAGGGGAAGGGTAAAAAGGGAAAAGAAAAAAATGTGAGATAATGAAAAGATGGAAATAAAGTGGTTGTAGATGGGGAGGGGAGGAGGGGGTAAAGGGAGGGCAGGGACAAGGGGAAAATTGAGCACCAAGACTTGTCATGTAGAGGTACAAGATCCCAACAATGAATGTAACTGTACTGTATCCCTAAAATGTACCAATAAACTCAATTAAAGCTGAAAAAAAATACAGTAAAGAACATCCTTATTGATGAGAAACTAAAGCTTTTTTGCTACAATTGGGAAGAAGGCAAGGATATCAACTCTCACCATATTGTTTTAATCTTGTTCTAATAGTGCTACCTAATGCAATAAGACAAGAAAAGGAAATGAAAGGAATTATATCACTTTATAATTTGTATGTTGAAGTTTTAAACTTAATACTTCAGAAAATGACTTTATTTGGAGATAACATCTTCAAAGACATAATTGAGTTAACAATAAGGCCATAGTTAGGCTCTAATTCAACATAAATATTATATAAGATAAGTATATAGCATTTATGAGAGGAGCATACTAGACTATAGAGAAACACTGGGTTTATGTGCTTATCAAAGGCACATGTGATGAGGCAGCAACAGGTCAGCCAACTGTGAACCAAGAAGTGAGGTGTCAGAGAAAATCAGCTGTGATGGTAGCCTCACCTTGGATTGCCAGCCTCTATAACCATCAGAAAATAAATTTCTATTTTGTGATGGCATCCTTAGAACTTGTGTAAATAGGTATGCAGATGGAAGCAAAATGTGTAACACTATCCATGTTTTTATATGACATGTTTTTATATATAGAAAATCCAAAAGCATCATTATCACCAACAAAACGATTCTAAAACTAATATTTAGTGAAAGTCACTGGGTAAAAAGTTACTGTGGAAAAATCCATTTCCATTTCTTTTCTATGTGCCAGCAATGAGCAAGTGGAATTTGAAATTTCACTCAGTTGACTGTAGCAAGAGGATTAAATAGCAAATTTTAGCCCCAATTCCTTTACATAAACCCATTTATGAAAACTCCAGAATTAAATTAAAAAATTGCAGTAGATCCAGTTTATCACAAAGCCAAGGAGAGCTGTGTTGAATTTAGTAAGAAGACCAATTTCACTTTACCCATGTGAAATACTCCCCTAGGAAGGCTACTTCCCTAGGCAGGGTCAGCCCAGCCTTGGGTGGTGGTGGTGGGACTGGGGAGGTTAAGAATATACTATTGAAGACCACATCCAAAATGCTGTCTTTTTAAGAAAGCTACATAAGGTACTGATTTTGTCTTGCTCTTTTTAGAGTGCTGATTAAATCAGAATATTTTGGATCCTGGAGGCAAATTTTATTTATTCTACAAATAAAAAAACATAAGGTGTGGGGGTGGCTTGCTGTAGACAGCATGACTGGGTACAGATGGACAGCTTGAGTTGTCTTCTTCTAGAGGGACTGAGAGGAATAGAGTATGTATCCAGAATTTTGGATTTTTGAAAGAATTCCTGAGGGACAGGTATCAGTATTGCCTTACTTAGGGGAGCAGCAGACTTTATCCAGTGATTGCTGAGATCAAAAAGGGAAGCTTGTTGTTCAAACTAGAAATTGTGTATTATTTTAGACTGACACAGATAGAGCAAGTGAATGTAAGTGCCTATTAAAAATTTGGTAAGTCTCTGAGAAATTGTACACACGGGCTCAGCGAAATCATGTTCTGCCATGAAAGGTTTTAGATGCCTTCATAAATCTATAGTTGGGCTAATACTTGAGAGTCACTCTCTACACAAAACCAATCTATGAAGACTGAGAGAGGTCCATGTATTCCAATATAAAATTATTAGGCACACAAAGTGACAGAATTGAGGCACAACCATAGGGATAAATAAGTCTCCTGAAACTGGATGACAATATCCGATATATAAATTGTAAAAAATAATGAAACAGAAATTTTAGAGCTTCAGAATACAAAAACTGAAATAAAGAAATTCAATAGAGGAGTTCAAAAGCTGACTTTGTCAGGTATAAGAAAGAACAAGCAAACTCTGGAACAAGTCATTTGAAATTATCTAATAAAAAGAACCAAAGAAAAAAAGAATGTAATAGTTTGAAAAATGACCAAAAGATGTATAGGATGGTATTAACTAGAAGAATACATGTATTATTAAGTTTCAAGAAAAGAATAGAGTTAGAAAGGAACAGATAATTTGAAGGAAATAAATGGACATTTATATTCAAGAACCTGTGGGTATCCAGTAGGCTTCAAACCAAGAAATGCACACTTAGATAAATATAATCAAATTTCAAAATTTAAAGACACTAAGCATTTTGAAAGCAATGAGAATAAAGTATCTCATCATATGTAAGAAAACCCTCTGAAAACTATCACTGAATTTCACATCAGAAACCTTAAAGGTCAGAAAAGAGTGAGATGATATAGTCACAATGTTAAAAGAAAAAAATGCAAAAAATCCTATATGTTTGCAAAACTCTCCCTCATAAAATGAAAGAGAAATAAAGTGTTTCTGAGATGACCAAAAGCAGAGAAAGCTCTTCATCACTAGTCTTGCTTTACAAGAAATTCTAAAGGGAGCTGAAAATCTCTGAAATTTCAAGTTGAAATAAAAGGACCTTCAATAGCAAAATAGAAGCATATGATAGCATAAAGCTCAGAGGGGAAGGTAAACATACAGACAATACATAATACTTTAGTGCTTTTTAAAAATTAAGTTTATTGCTACTTTTTAGGTGTAGAGTACAGTTACATTCATCATTGGGATCTATGATGGTAAAAAAATAACTTTCTGTGCTGTCATAGAAGAGCCAAAAGCATAAAATATAAAATTTGTTAATGGATAGACAATATAAAAAATATTTAAGTTGTAAAATCAACAACTTAAAACATATAATGGGGGGCTGGGAATTTAACTCAGTGGTTCCACTGCCTGCCTCACAAGCTCAAGCTCCTCAGTTCAATCCCCAGCACCAGGAAAAACAAACAAACAAACAAAAAAGAAACTAAACATGTAATGGGGTGTAAAAATGGAAAAATTGTATGCAATTAAAGTTATTAGCTAAAATAAATTATTATGACTATAGGACATAAATTCTTTTGTAACCACAAAAAAATTCTAGAAGACATAAAGTGAGAAAATAAAACACATCAATTAAAAAAAGTCAAGACAGATTACAACAAAGGAGACAAAGAAAGAGATGGACATTAGGTTAAATTTTATCATATCCTGCATGTGCATAAAAGTTTAAATTCACTAAGATAAAACCATTATAAAGTATAAGCACTTAGCATCAGAGCATACAAATATATGAGGCATATATTAACAAAACTGAAGGAGGAAATAGAAAAAAAAGTAAGGAAATCCAATCCTTTACTTGCAGTCATGGTATGAAAGTGCAAGCACATGATTGATATTGAAACTGAGACTAGAAATGCACTGTTGATTCAATGTACCC